ATAAATACATATATATAATATATATAGTATAATATATAGTATACATAATATATATAGTATATATAATATATATAGTATACAAGATATATTTTATAATTTTTATTTTAATATTTCATAAAAATAACAATTATTATATATTATTATGTTCAAGTATGCCTTGTCGTATTAATGGTTCACATATAGATCTTGGTAATAAATGATATGTATTCTTTTTTAACAAAATTACTTGTCCATCTTCCAATTCTAATCTTCCAAAATCCATTACACATTTTACCTAAAATATTATATTTTATTTATATTAAATCATTTTTATAATAAAGTTTATACTTTCATTTTATTTACCTCTACGTAAGGAGTTTTTGGAGGTAAGATATTTGTTGTTAAATTAAATCCATAATCTTCTCCCAAAGATTTCATATATGTAGCTAAAGATTTATTATATGATTGAAACCATTGAATTTCAGCATTTAATAGATTGGAATTTATTTCTGGTGGTAAAATACTTCCTAATTCCCAGCGTAATTCTCTTAATTTTCTCATTCTATTATATATATATGCTAAGATACACCTTTTATTTCTTGTTAATGCTATATGTCTTAACTGTACTGATGGTAATAATGCCATATTATCATCATTTCTAATAGCATTACTGAAAAAAGTATGTTTAATCAATAATTTCTTCTTGAATTTTATAAATAATTCTTATATTATTATATTTTATATACAAACCTATCTGCCATATTTGCATTATATAGTGATTGCATCTCTTCTAAAACTTCTTTAACTAATGCCTCCTATAAAAAAAATAATTTTTTTCTAAAATATTCCATAATTATTTTTAATTTAATATATTACCTACATTAAATTGTGATATATCAGTACATGAATCTAATTCTAATATAAGTTGAAAACCTTTTCTTCCATACATATTTTATTAATAATATAAATTAAAAATATATATATAATATTATTTTTAATAAGAAATATGAAATTCTTAAATTATTAATCTTTAATACTAATAATTTTAACAATAACAAATTTTAAAATTATTAATTGCTACAAACTAGCTAAGACAAACAATTCATATTCAGTGACATCTATAAAATTTTCGCTTTTAGCGACATCTCACATCAAATCAAGAATTTTTAGAATCTAGGTTATTTATATTATAAGTAATATATTTAATTGAATCTAGAGGGGAATTGTTTATTAATATGTTAATGCTTAGAAAAGTTATTATAAAATTACAAACATGTTTATATCAAGAATTAACATATTGTACAAAGACTATTACGGAAAAAATTAGTCCAATTATTTCTAAGAAAAATTATGCAGATGAAAATTTTTTTTATCAAAAACCACGAGAAGTGTGGTTAGAAAATTTAGATACTGTTGAAAGAAAAAAGTTGGGACTTATGAGCTTACATCCTGATGTTTATGGAACAGCTCCTAGGATAGATATAATACATCAAAATGTGCATTGGCAAAGATTATATCGTTTCGTGGTAATTATTTTTATTAATCGCTTCTATTGAAAATTAAAAAATTATAATTAATTATATATTAATATAATAATTATTTTATATATTAATATAAAATATATTAATTTTTTATTTTAGTCTTATGCACATACAAAAGTGCGTTCAGAAGTAAGAGGTGGTGGCAAAAAACCTTGGCGACAGAAAGGATTAGGTCGTGCACGTCATGGAAGTATACGTTCTCCATTATGGAGAGGTGGTGGTATTATACATGGACCCAGATCTCCTACAACTCACTTCTATATGTTGCCCTTTTATACTCGTGTTAATGGACTTACATCTACATTATCTGTTAAATTAGCTCAAGATGATTTATATATTATTAAAGATTTAGAAATTCCATCAAATGAACCATCATATATTGAAAAATTAATAGAAGAAAGACATTGGGGTCCTTCTGTATTATTTGTTGATACTGATGATATCATGCCAATAAACATCACAGAAGCTACAGACCCAATAAAACATGTAAATTTAATGCCTGTATATGGTAAATATATTATATATATTTATAAATTTTAATATTCTTAATTTTTTTTTAATTATTTCTTTATTTATTTTCCAGGATTAAATGTCTACAGTATGTTAAAACATGATACTTTAGTTCTGACTGAAAGAGCTGCACGTTTAATTGAAGACAAAATATTATATCATTTACACAGACCAGATTCTCGTAAAGTAATGGCAAAATTTAAACTTAATCAATAATAAAAATTGAAAAATACAGAAGTAAAATATATTTATTATTTATAAAAATTTATCTATTTCATATAACAATATATAATCTTATAATATAATCTTAATAACAATAATATAATCTTAATTATATCAAAATTATTTTCATTATTTGTCACAGGATAAAATTCACATTCTAATTACAAATAAAATTATTTCTTCTTCAATGTTGGCATACTAGTTGATTTTCTAGGAAGAGGCTACAAATGTAAATATTAATAACATTAAACATAAAATTTAAACATATCAAGAATTAACATATTGTACAAAGACTATTACGGAAAAAATTAGTCCAATTATTTCTAA